CCTCTGTGACAGCTTCACACTCCAGATCAGTAGCCGTGGGAGACCAACATCTAATCCATCCTCGCTGCAGCCTTATACATTTTTAATTGTGCTCGCGAGAGAACTGGGACAAGGGACAGAGATTGAGCGCGATGTCTCGAGCTATATTAGAGAGGCAGGGCTTCTCAAACATCTGCCCCGCCCATCCCAATAAAGTTAACAGAGAGAAAAAAAGGCTATGCAAATGAGTTCGCACCCCTCGCTGCATTGATTGACACACCGAGTTTCTCTTATCATCTCTCATAATACTGACAGTGAACCAAACCTTGAAGCTCCAACACATATCACAATAGTGGAAATGTAAAGGCTTTATTTCAGCACATGATAGCTGACCTTGGAGAAATCACAAATTACCTTCTGTGGAACAATGTTGTGAGATGTGGGCCTTTAAAAAAAAAAAAAGAAAGAACAGATTATACGGAAATCATTTGTATGAACTGTTCTTAATTAACATAAAGGAACTGGTCACCCATCATTTACTCATCCGTGTCATTTCAATCCAACATGATTGTCTTTCTTCTGCAGAACACAAAAGAAGACTTTTGAGAAAAGTAAGATGAGTTCATGAATCATTCTGGGACAAGTGAATAAATTTGATGGTTGTGGTTTTTATCCTGAAACAGCTATATTTTTATGTACCCATTTATTTTCACAAAACTGTTCCATAATTATTCATTCTGAATCCAATTAATATGAACATGAACATGATACTGAAGGACTGATTTCTATGTTCAGAATTTTTATATAGATTTTCCTGGTATTTATTTCAGCCACACTTCATTATAACCATCATTAGATAGAGTACAGGTTTCTAGAGCACTGACATTTTTATTAGGACCAGGAATTGGGAGGGGTGCTTGGGGGGTGGGGGGTAATTCCTCTGGCATCTGCCACATCAAGATCTGAGGACAAAAGTCTCCCAAAATTGCCATTCTCCATGCATATTAAAGAAACTTGTCATCCAGACATCACGGAAAACTACAAAAGATAAGAGGCACAATCCCTTTGGGGCAGCATTTCTTGCCATCAGAATGGTAAAATTATAACCATAAAAATGTCCAATTTAGTGGAAAATGCTTGATTTTAGTATGTTTTGCATAAAAGCCAGTGCATTTAAATTGCCCATGCCAAAAAAAGAAAAGAAAAAAAAAGACAAATTGGCAATCCATGTTGAGTCAGAATTGACACTAACGCTATAACAAAGGGAATATGCATTACAGCGGACTGTAGAGAGGCACTCTACCTTCTGAAAGGAAGAGAATATTGAGACTGTAAATTAGGATGGAGGAACAAGGAGATGCACTCCTCGCAGAGAGTTAATGTGTCGAGCATATGCTGCTTCAGAGAAATTACGCTTGTTCCTTTTCATATGTGCGGCCTGTCTTAATGTTAGGATGCGAACAATCATGACGTGATGTCAATTGAAAGCAGCATTTTCGAAACACAACCTGCATTTTGCACGACCTTCATAAACAGTGGTGGAGGAAGTACTGAATCTCAGTACTTAAGTAAAAGTACAAATAACCAGATAAATATTTACTTTAGTAAAAGTAGAAGTGACACAATGACAACCATACTTAAGTAAAAAGTAAAAAGTACCTGATTTTAAATGTACTTTAAGTATTAAAAGTAAAATTACTTGCATAATTTATTTTCTTAAATGGGGGGGAGGGGGATCAATCCCGACCCCGCCTCCATTTTTGCACTTAGGTCTAAGTCCCATGGCCCTCTATCAGAATCCAGAGTTTCAGAAGATCAGA